GGGCGGCGGAATCTGGAATAAGTAGGATTTTACAAAGACCAAAATGAATGTATCTTTACATACCTCATTATACACATACACACACACATTTAAACCCAAATATGCTGTTGTTGTTTGGTCCTGGTGAGTTAAGAATGATTCACTGCGACCCTATGAACAAAAGATCTGAACCCTATCCTATATCCTGTGACATCCTCATCACCTGTCACACTCAAGCCCATTGCTGTGGTCACTGATATCCAACTGCAGACACACAGATCTCTATGCATACACATATGTATATCTATGTTGTTGGCGTTATGTTCCCTCGAATTGGAAGTAACTCAGCTGATCCTCTAGTGGGTTTTCAGAGGCAAAAAAATCACGAGAGGAGACTGCCCATCTTACTCCCGAGGAGCAGCTGGTGGATTTAAGCTGCATGTCTTTGCGTTTGCAGTTCAACTCCTCACCACTAAACCTTCCATATATAATGTAAAGAGCCCTAGTGTATAATGTACTGAGCTGCTAACCAAAAACCTGGAAGTTCTAACCCACTAGTCTATCTGGAGAGAAAGATGACGAGTCTTCTCCAGTTACGATAAAGCCTCAGAAATTCAACAGAGGGTTCCTATGAGTTGGACTGACTTGATAGCAGTGGGTTTATGTATTATATGATATCTTCTTGTTGTTGTTGTTATGTGCCGTTGAATCACCTGCGTCTCACATAACTCTATGCACAACAGCTCTGAAGCCTGCCCTATTCTGAGCCAGTCTCACTGACTCTGACACACCTAATCCCATTGCCCTAGTTACTGTACCAGTCCATCTCATATGGGTTCTTCATCTTCTGTGCTGTCCCTCTACCCCTCAGAGCACAATGTTCTTCTCCAAGGATCAGTTCCTCTTGGCCACATGCCCAAAGTATGTGAAATGGAGCTTCAAAATCCTAGCCCCTTCTCCAGCACCACAACTCAAAGGCTTCAACTCTTCTTCTGTCATCCTTAGTCATTAGTCAGCTCTTTGATGCATAGCAAGTAATTGCAAAGGCAATGACCTGGGTCAGGCACACCTTAGTCTCTAGACACATCATTGCTTCTCAGTACTCTGGAGAGGTCCCTGACAGCAGATTTTCCCAGTGCAATTCAATCCTTTGATTTCCTGACTGCCGGTGTCAAGAATGTTGATTGTGAAGCCAAGTAAACTGTTAACTGTTAACAACCTCAATCTCTTCTCCATCTATCACGGTGCTGCCAACTGGCCCAGTGGGTGAGAATCTTTGTCTTCTTGATATTGAATTTCAATCCACATTGAACACTACAGTCTTTGACCTTCTGCAGCAAGTGCTTCAGGTCCTCCTCAGTTTCAACAAGCAAGGTTGTAGCATCTGTATAACACAGGTTGTTGATGAGTCTTCCTCCAATCCTGATACCACATTCCTCCTCATAAAGCTCAACCTCTTGAATGATCTGTTCTGCATATAGATTGAAAAGGTATGGAGACAGGATGCATCCCTGACATACTCCCTTCTTGATTTTAAACTATGCAGTGTTTCCCTGCTTTGCTCTGAGGACTGCTTCCTGATCCAAGAATAGGTTACACATAAGCACAACGAAGTGTTCCGGCATTCCCATTCTCCTCAAGGTTAACCACAATTTGTCAATTGCTTTTGCATAGACAGATATTCCTCTGGTACTCTGCTTTCTGCCAAGATCCATCTGACATTGGTGATAATGTCTCTAGTGCCACAACTTCTTCTAAATCCAGCTTGTATTTCTTATAGTTCTCTGTCAATGTACTGTTCCAGTCATTTTTGGATAATCTTCAACAGGATTTTGCTTACATGTGGTATTAGTGATACTGGACAATAATTTCTATACTCTGTCAGATCAACTTATTGTTGGAATGAGAATAAATATGAAATCTCTTCCAGTCAGCTGGCCAGGTAACTGTCCTTCAGATTTCTTGGCACAACTTGGTGATCACATCCAGGGCAGTATCTGTTTGTTGAAATGTGTCAATTGCTATTCAATAAATTCCTGGGGGTTTAGTTTTCCCCCAAAGTCCTTCAGAACAGCCTGTACTTCCTCCTTCATAACCACTGCCTCTTGATCATATTTTGTTTCTTAAAACTCTTCTGTGTTAGCTAATTCTTTTTGGTACAGTGACTCTTTGTACTCCTTCCATCTTCTTTTAATACTTCCTGGATCATTCAATATTATTACCATAGCATCCTTAAGTATTGCAACTCGAGGTTTGAATTTGTTCTTTAGTTCTTTCAGCTTAAGAAATGCTGAGCAAGTTTGGCCCTTTTGATATTTGGACTCTACTTCTTTGTACTTTTCATTATAATAATCTGTCTTTTCATGCTGCCCTTTGAAATCTTCTATTCAGCTCCTTAACTCCTTGATTTCTTCCCTTTGCTTTGGCTTTCTGGATATCTAGTGCAATATTTAGAGTCTCTTAGAAAAACTGATTGATAATGGAATCCAAGAACAACAGGATCTCTGGCACAAACATTGGTAATGTTTTCCAGGGTGGAAGGGGTCTTTCACCCAAATGCTTATATGTACAACCAGCTCCTAGGTTTTGAATGAGATCAGTTCCTAAGTATGTCTGTAAGTGTAATTTGTAGTTAAGTCAGAATAGGTAATCTAATCATGTAATGGGTTAAACATTTAGCTGTTAAGCAAAAAACAAATAAAACCAAACAAAAAAAACAAACCCCAACAACAGTGGTTTGAACCCACCAACTGATCTGAAGGAAAAAGAGGAGGCAGTCTGCTCTTGTTGAGATAACAGCCACAGAAACCAGATAAGGCACCTCTACCCCATCTTATAGGGTTGATATGCGCTTAAAGATCCCTGGTGGAGCAGTGTATTATATGAAGGACACTAAACTGAAGGGACAGTAATTTGAATCTACCAGCTGTTGTTCCTCAGGAAGAAAATGAAGTGATCTGTGCAGATTTACAGTTCTGGAAATGTGACAGAGGACTGCCATGAGTCAGTCTCAATTTGATGGCAAGGGATTCAGAACAAGTGCATATGTTTTAAATTAGCCTTACTTTAAGGATTTTTGCATCTATATTCATTAGAGATATTGGTCTGTAGTTTTCTTTTTCTGTAATATCTTTACCTGGTTCTGGTATTAGGGTTATGCTTGCTTCACAGAATGACTCTAGGAGTGTTCATTCCTTTTCTATTTTTTAAAATAATTTAAGTAGACTTGGTGATGGATCTTCTTCTCTGAATGCTTGGTAGAATTTAGTTGTGAAGCCACCTGGTCTAGAACTTTTTTTGTGGAGGAGTCTTTCCATGACTTGCTCAATTTCTTCTTTTATGATGAGTCTGGAGAAATGTTCTACATCTGTCCATTATCCATCTGGGTAGGTCATAAGTTTCAAGAGTTTGTCCTTTTCTTCAAGGTTTTCAAATTTATCAGAGTATGCTATTGTTGTTAAATGCTATCGAGATGCCTGCGACTAGTAGCGACCCTACGTACAACAGCTCTGAAGCCTGCTTTTTATGATATTCCAATATTACTGATTTAATTTTATCTGGTTGTGTTGTGATGTTACCTTTATCATTTCCTAATTGAGTTGTGCCTTCTCTTTTTTTTTCTTTGTTAAGTTTGCCAATTTTATTGACCTTTTTGAAGAATCAGCTCCTGATGTTGTTGGTTTCAACTGTTTTTCTATTTTCTATCTCATTGATTAAACTCTTGTCCTTATAATTACCTTTCTCCTAGATAAATTTAGCCTTACTTCAGTGCAAGAACGGGCTTGAAGCCATTTCAATGAATTAAAAGCTGCCCCTGTAAGCAAGTCCAGGTGAAGGTAATGAAGTTGTTGCAAATAAGGCCTGGTTCAACAGTTTTAAAATGAAAGTATATTAAAAAAAAACAAAAAAACAAAACAAAAAAAAATGAAAGTATATTTATGTAACATTAAGAGTTGTCTGAAAACAGACTGTTAGTAATCTGGGGACTTACTGTGTATTTCTCTTCCTATCTTAAAGTCATTAATAACAATATCCAAAAGGTACTCTTTCCAACTGCTTCTCAGTACAAAAATGATTAAAGACCTTAAAAGCCTATGTTATTAACTTACTTGAATCAACCACAAAGCTAAGGTTTTAAGTATATATAAAAAACATCAAGTTCATGTCTTCAATATTTACAGAACACTAACACTAAACAACGAACAACTTTATCAATGTTTAAAATATAAACTCAAAATTCAACTCATTGCTGTTGAGTAGGAATTGACTCACAGCATTGCATGAACATCCAGTGGGTGACTTTTCAAAGACTATAAACCACATAGGAGAAATGCGTACCTTTATCCTGAAAAGCAGTGTTTAAAGTAACACTATTGTTAAGTGCTGTAGAGTCAGAACTGACTCATAGCTGACCGTCCACGTTTTCAGAGGCTATGAATTGAACAGGAGGAGGCAGCCCATCTTTCTCTCATGGAGCAGCCTGTGGATTAGAACTGTCTGCCTTTAGGTTGGCAGTGTAACTCCTTACAACTAAACCATCAGAACTTATTTAAAATTAACAAAACACTGTCATTTATCATTTCATATAAAGTACTCAGAATTTGGCAAATACAAGTTAAATACACAAACAGTTATGGCTAGTTCAATCTCCATAATAGTCTATGTGTTTCCTACTGCCAAAGGGGCCCTTTAGAGTAGTGAGAGAAGATCTTCACCCTGAAACCCACAGCGTCCCTTTTCAGCAGGAAGTAGCTAAGAGAATATGCCATCCCCTTTTCCTTATGACTCAGGGTGAAGTCTCTCTCAGGGAGAAGTGATAGGGAATGGCAAAGGACACACTGACAAAGAAGATTAATCAGAACTGGCTTTGACAAGCACTGTGGCATTTGGACAAGAACAAACTGGGAGGAGGGTAGAGAGAATAGTGCAACAATAAATGAATGGAAACCCAAAATCTCTGTAAATGTTTATGAAAATTAATAAAATATAATTATAGAAAAAAAAATAAAATAACAACATACCTCCTAAAGCCCCGCTGTGATCTAGACTTTTCTTTTTAAAGCCATTAGAGACGATTAAAACAGGAACAACAACAGAAAACAGCCAGCGCCAAGGAGAAATAGGCCGGAAATTATCTGAAAAATTACATAGGCACAGAATAAAATTGCATGAAGCCTACACAAGTTATTTTTTGTATTATGCTTGCTATTTGTTTAAGAAACAGAGATGAAGTTATCAAAATGAGTACACTGAGACTTGAATATCTTCCATATTACAGGGGAATAGTTGATGAGTCCTACCCAAGTTTTGAGAACCATTAACAATTATATGTACTGGGTATTTCATACATGTGGGGATTTCAATTGAAACTTCTTGTTCACACAAGAGAATACACATTAAGTTTCAAGAACTATATAGAACAGACTCCTTTGTTAATAAGATCTAATTCTTCTGCCTTCCAAAGTGTTTTTCATTTTTTTATAAAGAAACATTTCATAGGCTGCACAAATTATTAGATCTCCGTTCCCATCCCAGTTATATCCAGCTGACAGAAGGTTTGTGAGGCCAACACAGTGTATTCAAATAATTTTATTAGATATTTAAAGTATAGATTTCACACAAAACCTTAAGAGTCTAAGTTTTAAAAACAGAAGTTTGGCCCACATGGCAGAAGTGACTGCTGGCTGAAAAGGGCCGCCTCTTTCAGGAGGATCATGGCCTTCCCATCAAGATGCCCTATTACAGGTAAACTTGAAAAATACTGTAGCTAAATAGTTTATCCATAGTAAAGAAAACCATAAACTATTGCTTGTGCATGCTTCTTTAAAAAATGAGAAAAAAAGACAAAGGGAGTCAGGTAGGAACCAATATAGGAAAATCCTACTGCTGGAGATTAAAACTATTCCTTTGTTACATATGTAAAACCTGGATAGCTTTCTCATGTCTATTATGTGCCTGGTGTAGGTAGGCACTTTCTAAATCTTGGTTTATTCTATTTATTAAGAATCTTTTCCTGGAATCATCATGAATGAACAACCTTAAGAACTTTTACATTCTGGGGAGCACCCCATCTGATGTATATGTCTCTTTGCAAATGGACTAAAATCTGAAATAGCCATCACTTCTGACATTACCTTTATGAGAATTTACTGTTATTTTCTTCCCGTATTCCTTTGGTAAGAACTGGCCAATATTTTGTTTTTATAGGAATATCAAGGAAGTTTGTGTAAAGGCATGTTTACAAAATTTTAAAGCTTCAAAACATTAAAGAATTGAGCCTAGGCTACCTTTTATTTATGCCAAGGAGTTTTAGGTTTCAAAAGAAGCCTGTTCTTTTGAAATTAACAGATTGCAGACAATTTTCCAATCTTCAAATGTAAACAGTATACCATATTTTATTCTTTTCATAGGATACATAAAATACTGCTGGTCATTTTACTGAAAGTGAAAAGCACCATAGTATAACAATTTTGCAAAACTACATTTCACCTTATCTTTATACCAAGGTAGATGTAATAATCATAAAAAACTTAAAGACATTCGAAGTCTTTAAAGACACTCTAAAGTACAAGTACGTGTAACTAGTGTAATCTCAATAAACATTTGTTGAAAGTTTAAAAACCTTCACTACCTTATAAGAACTGTATTTTCCTGTTGGCAAACTGAATTCTGGCTGTGGAAGTAAAAACTACCATTCATAACCATCGAAAGGATATGAGTTTTAGATTTCACAAGAATGCAAAATAAAATTCCAGCAATCAGACCAAAGAATACATTTAGAACATGCATACTCACCATAATAGGTACTTGCAGTCATAGACATAATCCAGAAAACTAAAGAAATGGATACGATCAGGCTCAATATGACTATATTTATTATCATCTTTACGTATCTTTTGCATATATTATTATTCTCAAGATCTGTCATGGAAAAATAAGGATATGATCACCCGGAGAAAAAATATATAGCCTTTCTGAATAAAAGGTCATTTAAGTCGCCAGGAAAACATTGGTTTAGAAAGAAACACAAATGTAAACATTTTCAACTGGCAAAGAAAAACCCCACACATATAGAACGAGACTATCTCTGGAAAGTGCTGCTGATGGAATTAAAACTGGAGGTTATAGTCTTACTGCAAAAGCAAAGTGCATCTCTAAAGAGCGCTGAATCCACTTAGAGCGACCAGCCTGGAAACACCTGAACGCCAAGGCCAGGAAACTAAAAAGGAAAGAAACTGGCAAGCGCTCCGCAGGCGCCCGGTCTGCGAGCTCCGCCCCCTGGAGGACGTCAGTACCGGGGCCCGGGTTCGCCGCCCCAGCCCTCCCACTCCGGCCCGGGGCTCGCACGTGTCCGTAAAGGGGTACAGTGCAGGGCCCGAACTAGGAGAGTTTGAGTGCTGAGAACCGCTCGACAGTGCGCAGTCTTGTCCCTAGAGCCGCCTGCGACTCCCAAAGTCAAGTCCAATCCGTTAAAAGGGCGAGATCCCCGGAGATCAGTCTACACCACACCTTTCTCTCTCTCTCCGTCCACGCATGCGCAGAAACAAACCGCTGGCATGTCGCTCCTCTCACGTGAGCGTTTAAAGAGACTCTCTGCTAACGGCCGGGCTTCCGTAGTTGGTGAGGTTGCTACGCAGAGAGGTGACTGTTTTTCCATTTTGTAGACATCTCAGTGCTTAGGTTTTTGTGTTTGCAGACGTACTCAGATGAAGTTAATTAACATCAGGATGATGTTGTTATGTACCGTCCAGTGGATTAGGACTTGTAGCGACCTATGAACAACCGATCTCACTTATGCTGCCCTATCCCCACTATTTCCAACATGGTGGGGCCCATTGTTAGTCACTGTATTAATCCCATCTTGTTGAAGGACTTCCTTTTTTTCTTTGACCCTTCGCTTTTCCCAGCATGATGTGGATTTTCAAGAATTAATCTCTCCTGACAACCTGCACAAAGTATGTGAGGTTGTTTCACCATCCTTGTCTCTAAGGAGCAATTCCTCCAAGACAGCCTAGTTCTTTTGGGATATTCAATATTCTCCTACATCAAGAGCCTGTGGTGATGAAGAAAGAAGTTCACGTTGCTTTGAAGGAATTTGCCAAAAACAAGGCTCCAGGAGTTGACGGCATACCAATTGACAGATTTGAGCAAACAGACGCTGCCCTAGATGGGCTCACCAAATTGAGCCAAGAATTTGGAGGACAGCCAGCTGGCCAACTGACTGGAAGAGATCGATACTTGTTCCCATTCCAAAGAAAGGTGACCTGACAGAGTGCAGAAATACTCAAACAATATCATTAATATTACATGCAAGCAAAATTCTGCTGAAAATTATCCCAAAACGACTGGAGCAACACATCAACAGAGAACTGCCAGGTGTGCAGGCTGGGTTTAAAAGAGATCGTAGTAACAGGGATATTAAAGCTAATGTTAGATGGATCTTGGCAGAGAGTACCAGAGGAATGTCTGTCTGTGCTTCATTGACTATGCAAAGGCTTTTGACTGTGTGGATCACAACAAGCTGTAACTGACTCTGAGAAGAATGGGAATCCTAGGACATTAGATTGTGCTAATGCGAAACCTATACTTGAACCAAGAGGCAGCCGTCAGAACAGAGCAAGGAGACACTGCATGGTTCAAAATTGGGAAGGGGGTCCTCCAGGGATGTATTCTGTCTCCATACCTTTTTAATCTGTATGCAGAACAGATAGATCATCTGGGATGCTGGGCTGTATGAAGAGGAATGTGGCATCAGGATTAGAGAAAGATTGATCAATAACTTGCAATATACAGATGACATAACTCTGCTTGCTGAAACTGAGGAGGACCTGAAGCACTTGCTGCAGAAGGTCAAGGACTGCAGCCTTCAATATGGATTGAAGCTCAACATCAAGAAAACAAAGGTTCTTACCACTGGGCCAACTAGCAGCATCAGTATAGATGGTGAAGAGATTGAGATAGTTAACAGTTTTAGTTTGCATGGCTCCACAGTCAACACTCTTGGTACCAGCAGCCAGGAAATCAAGAGATGAATTGCATTGGGAAATTCAGCTGTCAGGGACCTCTCCAAAGTACTGAAGAGCAGCGATGTCAGGCTGGAGACTAAGGTGCACCTGATCCAGGCTATAGTCTTCGCAATTGCATGCTATGTATGCATCAGAGAGCTGGACAATGACTAAGGTTGATAGAAAGAGAATTGATGCCTTTGAGCTGTGGTGCTAGAGAAGATTGTTGAATATACCATGGACTGCTAGGAGAACAAACAGTTTCATCCTAGAGAGGGTGAGACGACGCTGCTCCTTAGAGGCAAGGATTCTGATGCTTCATCTGACATACTTTGAGTAGGGGGCAAGGAGGTACCAGTCCTTGGAGAGGGACATCATGCTTGTGAGGGTGAAGGGACAGCACAAGAGAGGTAGACCCTTGATTGATTCACTGACTGGGTTATTAGGAGTAGGTGTGTCAGAGACAATAAGATCGGCACAGGATAGAGCTGGGTTTAGGCATGTTGTACATAGTAGGGTCTCTGTGAGTTACAGGTTACTCGACAGCACATAACAACAACTACCATGAGTATATGCCCAATTAAAATGAAATCATTGACAACTTCAATCAGAGAATGTTGTTAATAGCGATTCTATGAACAAAAGGCCTGTGTTCTATAACTATCATTGTTTCTCTATGTTCATAGTTTCCAGAGGCATATGGTTTAAGACATAGATACAACTCCTGCTTCTAAACCTGAATCAATCTTGTAGCTCGACCAAACACTGTCCATGATGGGTAAACATTGTGGCATTTGACACACCTATGGCACAGCGTTCAGTATCATACAAGTCCAAGTTACTTCAGTACAGCAAAGAGACTACTGATGTACCACTTAAAAGAGTATTCATCCCTATGCTATTTAATCCTTAAATGTATATTAGAAATATTTTGTTTAATTAAATAAAACAAAAACTATCTGCCAAGGGATGTATCAATGTAAGTTGGCTCAAGTCCAGAGAGGGAGGCATAGCACAACTGGCAACAATGATTGGTGTGTTTAGAACATGAGCTTCTCTGGCTATCTAAAGACAGGCCTTGGAATTGGAAATAATCTGACCACTTAGCAGGCTTTTAAACTTCCACCCTGGATTTCATTGGACTGTCCTTTTATGAGTTTAAGTTCTTAGCTTTAATTAAAAAAAATTTTTTAGTCCTCTGTACTTTTTACTTAGAGGTATTTGGATAGAAGTTAATGTTTCTTAATAATGATTCAATGCATCTCACTGCCAAGGAGTTGGAACAGACCATAACAGACCCTCTGCGTTCTCAAGGTTGTAAACTTCCTGGGAAAAGATTGCCTCTCTTTCTCTTGTACAGTAGCTTGTGGACTGTAGAATAAAAAATTGCAAGTGAATTTTGACTCTAAGTTCACGTCAAGCAAGATATCCCAAAGATTTTTTATTTTGAAAAGAAAGACTACAATAGGTGGTTTGTTATAGTTCATTAATTTATGAAGAGTTCATGCCATATAATATTATGTATTGGGTGAGGATATTCTTTTGGTAATCTCCGCTTTCCGTCAAGATCCAAGCGACACAAACACTGATGTCCCTGATGTGACAGCCTCTACTAAATCCTGCTTGAAATAATGACAGTTCTTTTGGGTGATCTTCAGTAATATTTTGCTTGCCTGTGATATTAGTGATATTGTTCGATAATTTCCACATTCTGTTGGATATTTTTCTTGGGAATTGGAATGATTATGGGTCTCTTCGAGTTGATGAGTTAGCTGTCTTCCAAATTCCTGCACACACTGGTGGAGCAAATCCAGGATTACATCTGTTAGTCAAACATGTCAATTTGTACCCCCTCAGTTCCTGAAGCCTTACTTTTTGCCAATACCTTTGCCAAGAGCAGCTGGAACTTTGTCCTTCATTATCATTGATAAAATTCTTCATTACTCTTAATCATATGCTAATATCTGAACTATTTCACTGTTGACCCATTCTTTTTGCTATAGTGACTCTGAGAATTCCATCCATCGTATTTTGATGCTTCCTGGGTCATTCAAGATTTTTGCCCACAGCATCTCTCAGTATTGAAACCCAGAGCTTGAATTTGTTCTTCAGCTCTCTCAACTTGAAAACGCCAAGCAAATTCTTCCCTTTTTTATTTTCTAACTCCAGGTCTCTTGACAGAGAGTAGAGAATATGAGAAAAGGGCATTTGACTGTGTGGATCATAATAAACTATGGCTAACACTGAGAAGAACTGACATTCCAGAACACTTAATTAATTTATACAAAATCTATACCTAGACCAGGAAGCTGCTGTCTGGACAGAGAAAGGGAACACTGCATGGTTTAAGATCAAAAGTGTGTATCAGGATTGTATCCTTTCTTTATTCCTATTCAACCTGTATGCTGGGCAAATCATTAGAGAAACTAGACTCTGAAATGTGGCATCAGGATAGGAGGAAGACTCAGCAACAATCTGCATCATGCAGATGACACAACTTTGCCTGCTAAAAGTGAGGAGGACTTGTAGCACTTGCTGCAGGAGATCAAAGACTACAGCCTTCAATAGCAATTGCATCCCATCATCAAGGAAATAAAAATCCTCACCCAATAGGCAATGTATCTCATTGGAAACATCTGTTGTCAAGCACCTCTCCATAATACTGAGGAGCAATGATGATGTCTGTTTGAAGACTAAAGTGCACCTGAGTCAAGCTATGGTCACTCCAATCACTTGCTTTTTGTCTGAGAGCTGGACAATAAATAAGGATGATAGAAGATTTGATGCCCTGGATTTGTGATATTGGAGGAGAGTATCCCATGGATAATCAAAAGAACAAACAGAGATCTCATGGAGAAGGTGTAGCCAAAGTGCTCCTTAAAGGCAAAGAAGGTGAAGCTTCGTCTCGTACATTTTAGGCATGTTGTTAGTAGGGGGTTATTTCTTTGAAAGGGACATTGTGCTTGGAAAAGGTCACTGAAAGACAGGAACATGAATGACATAGACCGATACAGTGACTGCAGCAATGGGCTCAAGTATAT